TGCCCATGTCCACACTTCCTACAGATCTGTTTCTTCTTTAGCTCCTTGGTTGTCAGACTTCCATACAGTTTGATTTTCTGGCAGTTCTGGGGATTATTTTGTTTTTAAATTTGTTGTTGTTCTCTTTTGGTTGTGCAAGGAGGCAAAGTATATCTACCTATGACTCCATCTTGGCCAGAAGTCCCCTGAAACCATTTTATTTAAAATGTCAATATTTGTGTCATAAATTACATCTGTTGCAACTTTTTAAGGTTATGATGAAACATGTTGTATACCAAATTAAAAATCTGCAAGAGATAAATACTTTTTCTAAATTACTTTGTGGTATGCAGTGGAAAGGTTTAGGAGGCTCTAGATCTGATTGTTATTTAATATTTCTTCCAAACTCTTAGAGTTTGATGACTATGGAACACTAAAATTGTGCAGTAAATCAAACACTTAAAGGCTTATTTACATTGAACTGTCTAAATTTAGGAAAAAAACCAACCCCCCTCATCCAGTCTTTCTCACACACATCCACATATCTACTCTCATGCCAAGATAAAACCTTTGCACCTTTTAAAATGCTTTAAGAATTTTTATTTTATATGTTGTCCCACCTATTCATGCATTCATTGGTTGATTCTTTTTTTTTTTTAATCTTTCTATTTTCCTACTTTATTTTTTATTGTTTATTCCAGAGGTGCCCAACATTTTGGTGTCTCTGGGCTACACTGAAAGAAGAGTTGTCTTGGGCCACACATTAAATACACAAACACTAACAAAAACAAAAACTCTCATAATGTTTTAAGTAAATTTACAATTTTGTGTTGGGCCACATTCATAGCCTTCCTGGGGCACATGCAGCCCACAGGCTGCAGGTTGGACACCCTTTATTCTATTACAGTTGTCCCAATATGTTTTCCTTTTTCCTCTCTCCACCCAGCCCACCCCTCTCTCCCACAGTCAGTCCCCCTCCGTTGTCATGTCCATGAGTTATTCATACATGTTCTTTGACTAAGCCCTTCCCCTTCCTGCCACCATTCCCCTCTCTCTCCTCCCCTCCTACAGCTATCAGTCTGTTCTATGTTTCCATGTCTCTGGTTCTATTTTTCTCATAGTGTATTTTGTTCATTATATTTCAGTTATAAGTGAGGTCATATGTTATTTATCTTTCACCAGCTGGCTTGTTTCACTTAGCATAGTAGTCTCCAGTTCCATTGACGCTGTCACAAAAGATAAGAGTTCCTTCTTTCTTTCTGCTATGTAATATTCCATTGTGTAAATGTAGCAGTTTTTTAATCCACCCATCTACTGATGGGCACTTAGGCTGTTTCCAGCACTTAGCTATTGGTTGATTCTTGTATGTGTCCTGATCAGGGATTGAACCCACAACCTCGGCATATTGGGACGAAGCTCTAACCAACTGAGCTACCCAGTCAGGGCTGCTGATTTTTAAAAAAATCTTTGAAAAGATTGTATTTATTTGTTTTTTTTAGAGAGGGGAAGGGAAGGAGAAAGAGAGGGAGAGAAACATTAATGTGTGGCTGCCTCTCAAGAGCTCTCTACTGGGGACCTGACCCCCACAACCCAGGCATGTGCCCTGACTGGGAATTGAACCATTGATGCTTTGGTTCTCAGGCTGGCACTCAGTCCACTGAGCCACATTAGTGAAGGAAAAATCTTTCAAGTGTTTTTTAATGGTACAGGGATAGGTTGTAGAAAAGCACTAAATGACAGACAAAGAAGAAAGGAATCAGGAAAGGTAGAGATGTCCACATTTACAGATTTCAGACAAAATTTATTCGGTCTCTCTTGTACATTTTAGTGGAAATTAAGGTAGTGAAGCACTTATTGTCTTTTTATTGCCATTTATTTGGTGTTACCATGCAAAACCTGTGAAGCTGTTGGAGCAGAACAAGGCAAACTCAGCAAGCAATCTCCAATAGACTTTCTATGAATTAGAAAAGGATACCCTTTTCTCAATGCATTTTACTATAACATATTGGAAAACTGTCATAGTATTCTAACTGTTAAAAGATACTTTATTAATATCCTGTTATAGTAAACATGCAAATTTATGATGTTGAAGATGAAGATGGCATTATCTTAAGTTTCTCACTGCACAGGACTAACTGTACATCAAAGACTCTGGGAAGACTGGCATCATGAAGTTCACAAATACCAAAAACCAAGCTCTATCATATATCTTCATCTCTACCTAGAATCATTATCACACTTCTTGGGTTAATTGGTTTACCTGCTTTCCAGAACCTTTACTTCAAACCTTTTATAGTTTAAAAAAAAATTTTTTTTATTGATTTTAAAGAAAGAGCAGAGAGGAGATAGGATCGGGGGAGAGAAACATTGATGTGAGAAACATCGATCAGTTGCCTCTTGTATGTGTCCCAACCTGGGACTGAACCTGCAACCTAGGTGTGTGCCCTGAACAGAAATTAAACCTGCAAACTTTTGTTGTACTGAATGAAGATCCAACCAATTGGGCCTCCCAACCAGGGCTATAGTTCTTTCAGTCTTGTATAATCCTACCTTCTTTTTGACTCCAGGTGACTTTGCCTCTTATTTCAGGAAAAAACCCAAGTCATTTGATGGGAATTCTTTCAACTACTGGTCATCTAATGTACACATATGTGTACCCATATTGTCTTCCCTTTTATCAAAGTTCAAACCTATTACCTATGCAATGGATTCCATCCCCTCTTACCTTAGGAAAATTACAGCAACCACTGTCTCTTGGACAAATTACTTACTTCTTAGTGCTTCTGGGAAACAGGGAGAATAGAACATACCATACAAAGTACATGAGGGAATTAACGAATGCTCAGAACAGTGTTTGTTGCACAGTATGTACAATAAATTACCTTACCTATGATTAATTCCATGTTTCTACTAGTATTTACTCCACCTTCCCTTTAAGAGTCCAAAGTCTTAACACAGTTTTGTTTCTTCTATAAATGGTCTTCAGTCTATGAAACAAGGCTTCAGTGTCCATCTCCCATGACCTCCATGTGCTAAATCTAATGAATAATTTTGTAGATCTCATTTTAGTTGACTTCCCAGCATTCAGCAATTGTCATCTTTTCCCTTGGCTTAAATGGTACAAAAAATCCCTCCCCACTCCCTTACCCTATTCTTTAAACTCTTTGTGGTATCTTCTCTTCCTCTACTCCAATTCTAGTTGTTAACAGTCCCTCAAGTCTCTGTTTTAGGTCCTTTCCTCTTCACCAGTATTACCTCTCCCTATATTATTTCATGACTTCATTTATCATTTGTGGCAGATACTGTAAATAAGCTGTCTTAATACCCATTGCCAGCTAGCTTTTCCTTGAGTATTAAATGTGGCCATGTCACAGAGTTCTGAAAAATGAGACCAAAAGTAGGTGTAGGGCTTTCTGCAAAGTTTTTGCCTCCCTAATGAGAGGACAGTTGAGGGAAGTGGTTCTTTCCTTTTCCTTCATGTATGGAACTTGTAAAGGTGAATGTGTAGCAGTTGTCTCCACCGTCTCCAATTCCACCCATCCCCCAATATAGCAAAGAGCTGGCATACTAAGGATGTGTTCACATTTCCATTTCCTGTCCAGAGCTTGAGTCAAACAACAGCCAGGTCAACCACTCCTTTTGGTTATCTCACAGGCACCTGAAGCTGAGCACTTCTAAAATAGTACTTCTCATTATTTACCCCATCTCCGTCTAGTCTTTCTCTGATCCTTATCTTGGTGAATGGTACCACTATATCCCATTGAGGAAATCACAGGTCTGGATACAACCCTGATACCATTGTCTCCCTGTACCCATAAACCATTTCTTGTTCTTTTCACATTTAAAATATTTGTAGATGGACTCTCTTTTTAATCCATCTCTCTCCTATTACCCTAATCCAAGCTATCGTCATCTTTCTGGATTAATATTAATAACCCTCTGCTGTCTTTACCTCCAGTCCATTCTCCACACATTAGTCATACTATTTTAAAATATAAACATGATGGTATTGCTTCAATACTTCAGTTGCTTTTAGGATCTAGACCAAAATCTTAGTAATATTTATGGTGCTCTGCAAACTCTGGCATGGGCCTTCTCCCATAACCATGTTCTAGATACTTGCTTTATTTTTGTGTCTTAGGGATTTGTGCATATGTTGTTCCCTATATCTGCATGCTACTTATATTAGTTTTTTATTGCTGCTGTAACAAATTACCACACATTTAGTGGCTTAAAACTAATTTTTTGTAGTTTAATGTATTTTAATAGTAAACTTACAGGAACAGCACAGAAAACAAACATTAAAAACATACTTGCATGTAGAACTGTTATAAAAGTATAGTGAATGGATGGAATTTACTATATGAAAAAATGCTACAAACACCATTTAGCTATCATCAATAAAAATTTATTTTAAAAAACTTATTTATTTTTAGAGAGGGGAGGGAGAAAGAGAGGGAGAGAAACATCAATGTGTGGTTGCCTCTTGAGTGCCCCATACTGGAGACCTGGCCCGCAACCAAGGTATGTGCTCTAGACTGGGAATCGAACTGGTGACCCTTTGGTTCTCAGGCCAGTACTCAATCAACTGAGCCACACCAGCCAGAGCTAAATTTACTTGTTTAAAAAAAAAAAATCCAAATGCTAGCACTGTCCAGAAAAATTTAACAGGTTTATTTATATTGTTATAAATTTGAACTGTTGAAACTTGTTCACTGAAACATCTTGACTTGCATTAATATGTCCCTACATTTATATTTAAAAAATTCACACAAATTAAAATGGGAAAATCTGCCAGTACCTGATTTCTGTCCTCTATTTTCCACTTGCAATCATATACTTAGGTATCTTTTGACCCCATGGAAAAAAAATATCTAACATTCAGAACTACCAATAACAGGAAGATTTTTTTTTAAAGAATGAAATGTTTCCCATCATTGTGGATTTTTTTCTTTTAAAAATTTATTTTTAATTATAGTTGAAATACAATATTACATTAGTTCCAGGTTCATCATGGATTCCTAAGCACGTTCTCCACGTATGCGGTGTGCTAGCTGGATGTCTTCTGGAATCATTGTTACACTTTTGGCATGGTTATCACACAGGTTGGTATCTTCAAAAAGACCAACCAGATAGGCTTCACTTACCTTATGCAAAGCACCAATAGCTGCACTCTGGAAGCACAGATCCGTTCTGAAGTCCTGAGCAATCTCTGGCACCAGGCGCTGGAAGGCAAGTCTGCAAATCAGAAGTTCAGTGGACTTCTGATAACGTCTAATTTCTCAAAGTGCCACATTATCAGGCCTGTAATGACGAAGGTTTCCTCACCCCTCCAGTAGAGGGCGCACTCCGGTAAGCAGCTTTGATAGCCAGTAGCTTCCTCGGGGCTTTACCACTGGTCAATTTGCAGGCAGTCTGCTTTGTATGAGCCATGGTACAGAGACCTCTACTTACCTCCTTTTTCCTTCTACTGGAGGTCGGTGAGCTGGAGAAGCTGGTAGAGAGTGATGGCAGCTGCAATCCTCTAAAACTAAGCTTCTTTTAACAAACATTTTATAGTTCTGTAAGTCAGTAGTCTAACATGGGTCTCATAGGACTAAATCAAGGTGTTACCAGGGCCATGTTCCTTTCTGGTGGCTGAAGGTTCGGAGAATGTTTCCTTATCTTTTACAACTTTTTGAGGCCACCCACACTTCTTGGCTCATGACCCCCTTCCTGTCTTAAGTCAGAAACATTGCATCTCTGATCACTCTTGTGTAGTCACAGCTCCCTCTGAATAAAGCTGCATATAATTAACTGAGTCCACGTGAATAATCTAAATCTCCCCATCTCAAGGTCCTTACTCGCAAAGTTCTTTTTGCAATGTAAGGTACCATTTTCAGATTCTGGGGATTACGACACGGACATCTATGGAGGTGTGAGGGGACACTATTCTGCCTACCACACTATTTTTAAATAATTGCACCAGGCTACAAAAACTTCAATAGTGAGCTTAGGGTTTTGTTTTTCTTAGATAACCAAATGTCTTTTATGGCAACAATTAGGCAGTTGCCAGCACTGATCAAACTGCTCAACAATGTCACTAGAGACCCAAGCCTTTTCTCTTTCCATTTGCCATCTTTAAGGCCTTGGCTTTTGATTTTTTGCATGTACATTTCTTGTGTCAAGATGGTTGCTGCTTCTCCAGATATCACATCTGTATCCAAGGCAGATAGAAGAGGGAAGGGCAGTGTACCAGATAATCTGTGCTCAGCTCCTAGTTATCACTTCAGTGCACAGTGACCAGACTTAAAACTGTTAGCACCTGGTTTTTTTTATGCCTCAGGGTTTTCTGTCTGGCTGAGAAGCCTGCTTTGCTGCCTACAACTCCTCCTAGCAACATTAAATCAACAGCTAAAGAGAGGAAATGTAAACACCCAGCTTTCTTGTCCCTGGGGTAGGACAATTCTAAGGCACCAGTGTTATAATGGTTTGTAGAATTTCCCAGTGGGATTAGGTTCCAGTTACCCTCAAGAATAAAAAGCTTAATAATGCATCATTTATTGGATAACTACACCCTCCCTCCCCAATTTCCTATCTCCACTATCCTATCAGTGTTTCTTGGGATAATATAAAAATAAACTATTTCTACCTCTGTCCTTGTTTCAGGACCTGCTTTGGAGAGAATCCAGACTGAAACAGGCGATCATCACATTTCCTCTTTCTGCCTTTCTTTAAAGATGATAGTTGGTGCTGTACTGTCTATATTACAACTAGGAGGTGACAAACCAGTATGTGGGATGGAAAGAACCAACTTTGATTCATATCCTTGAGCTACTGTCAGGCTCCGGACTCTCTAGTACTGCCTGTTGGTCATAAGAGGAAAATAAACCCTATTTGTTCAAGCCATTCTTAATTGCAATTTTTTTTTTGGTGTTGTTGCCTGCAGTCCTATGTGTCTTTGATTCAAATAAACAGAAATAATCACTGATTATAGTAAAAGCTGTGAAGGAAATTAAAGAGTACCGTGATACCTTTAGGATAAGAGATTAGCCATTTCAAAATTATAGTGCATTATCTTAAGAAGAAACAACAGTCATCAAAACCTACAGCAAGGAAAGTTTTTATTTTATAAATCAGATTATTGTGGTCAGATTGCAACAAGAGTAATGTTAAAAACTGGGGATAGATTGGGGGAAAGCCCAAGTAGAGTTTGAGTGTCCTGGCCCCATAGTTCAGCTAGTTGAGCATCATCACCATTGCCAGTGCCAGGATTGTGGGTTTGATCCCTGGTGGGAGCACATGCACAATGCAACCAACGAATGTGTATGTAGGTGGAACGAGAAATTGATGTCTCTCTCTCCTAAAATTAAAAAAAAAAAAAAAAGTTTACTTGAAATGCAGCGAAGCAATTTAATCCAATTTATTTTTAATAAAAACAAGGTTGCTTGACTCAATCCTCAGGGAAGTGATATAATCCAATTTCTTTAAAAAAATAATCACTCTGACAACGTAACAACCAAACAGAAATTTACAGGGCTGGGTAATGTGGAAATAACATAGCATAGCTGCCTTTCTAATAATGGCCCTAAAGTCCACAAAACAGTGATGGGTGTGGGTGTGAGGGAGAGGAGTAAATTAAATTGTTCAGTAACTCTTGCCTCTTAATTTTTTAAAAATTATTTTAGAGAAGGGGGAAGGTGAGAGGAAAAACATGGATGTGTGATTGTCTCCTCCCCCCGCCCCACCAAAATGGGGATCCAGCCTGCAACCCAAGGAATGTTCCCTGACTGAAAATTGAACCAGCAACTCTTCTGGTTCACAGGATGGCACTCAATCCACTGAGCTGCACCAGCTGGGGTTGGCCTCTAATGTTAATACCAGACTTTAACTCCCAAATCCAGAGACTAAAATCCTACGTTCAGTAATAGCAACTAGAATGCTAAGGAGGACAAATGATTTCCATAGCAATATTAATTTTTCAAAGTTGTTTATATTGGGCTGGTTTCCAGGGAAGTACCTAGGAATATACTATAAACTTGAGAATTAGAAATTTCAGATTGTACAATTTTACTCAAAGCACGATTCTACCACTAGATGGTGACATATATACAAAATACTGAAAAGTCACCATCAGTCTTCTACCTATAGGTGTATGGAGATTGCTTATTACTGGTTTTAAAATTGATTTATGAGCTCTGATGGGTGTGGCTTGGTTGGTTGGCCACTGTCCCACAAAATTAAGAGTCTCTGGTTTGACTCCCACTCATGGCACATGCCTGCGTTGCGGGTTCAGTCCCTGGTGGGGGCCCTTATGAGGGGCAGCCAATCAATGTCTCTCCTTCCTCCCTTTTTCTAAAAACAACTAAAATATTCTTAAAAATTAATGTAGAAGAATTTAAAGGATATTAGAGACTCTGTTTTATTATTCTTTTAGAATGAACACCTTTAAGCACATTAAAAAGTCGCTATTAACACATATACTCAGTACAGAAGAGTGGAGTCAGGCAACTTTTTTATTAGCTTCTATTCCTTTATCTATTAATAAGCAGCTGAATATATAAAGGGTTGGTAAACTACATTCCATAGGCCAATATGACTAGTTACAGGTTTTTGTGTGGCCTGTGGGCTAAGAATAATTTTTACATTTTTAAATGGTTTTAAAAAATGAAATAGTATTTTGATACATGAAAACAAATTTCAAATGTGTCCACAAATATTTTTATTGGAGCACCATCATACTCAGTATATATTATCTATGGCTGCTCTTATGCTTATAGTCAAGTAGTTGTGATTAAGAAATTTGGATTGCCTATAAAGCATGAAATATTTTATTTGACTCTTCACAGAAGTTTGTTGAGCCCTGAAGCGATGATTGAAGAGCAGCAATCATATATGGGAATAATTCCCTAGATTCTCAAATCATTTTAAATATTTTAGAGAGAGGGGAAGGGAGGGAGAGGGAGAGAAACGTCACTGCGAGAGAGAAACATTGATTAGTTGCCTCTCGCACACACCCCGACCTAGGTTGGAACGTACAACTCAGGCATGTGCCCTGACCAGGAATTCAATGAGTGACTTTTTTTGCTTTGTGGGATACTCAACTGAGCCACACCAGTTAGGGCTCAAATCACTTTAAACCAAGCATCACTTCACAGAACTTTTTAAAGAAAAAAAACTAGGAAGCAACTGCTTGTTAAAAGTTTCTTTGAAAGTCAAAATATGCAGTAGTAGTTGTCCTACTTTCAAGAACTGTTAGGGGTCCTCTGTGGTCATAAAAGCATAGTTGATAGATACTTACAAGTAATTTATCAAAAGATAACCTGATATCAGTTAGGAATGTGGCTTCAAGTAATGGAAATCTAAGACTGGATTGAGGAGAGATTTTTCTCATATAAGCAAGGTGTTGACAGCTGCTCAAGAGGTATCAGCAACCCACCCATACATTATTACTCTGTATGATCAACTTTATGGTGGGCATTTATCTTGTTTGTAGTTTTATTGTTTAAAAAAATTAGAATGGCTGCTGTATTACTTTGTGTATTAAGACGCTGCAGGCAGAAATAATGAAGGGTTAAGGGGCACATCTGTTAAATTTGTCCCTTTTTAATTAGGAATGGGCAGTTCTTCCCAAAAGACCCATTCTGCAGATTTCTGCTTACATTTCATTGGCAAGAACTCAACCCTATGGCCAACCCTAGAGAAACCACACCATGATTTGTTCTAAATCTATAACTGGGAGACCCTCAAAACACTGGATTTATAAAAAATTGTGTATTTATTCTTATAGGTTTAAACTTCAGTCACTTTCAAAGTACTCTCCATTTGATGCAATACACTTTTCAAGATGTTTTTTTCCACTGCTCAAAATAGTTTCTGAACTTGTTGATTTTGATGCTGTTTTAGTGCTTCTGCTGTTTTTTGTTTCATCTCTTCCACACTGGCAAATCGGTTCCCTTTGAGGACTTTTTTCATCTGGAGAAAACAAAAAAAGTTGCTTGGGGCAAGACTGGGTGAATAGGGAGGGTGGGCATGGGGGTCTGCCTTTTTTGGTCAAAAACTGAACACTCAGTTCAGTGTGGAAAGGTGCATCATCACAGTGAAAGAACCAGTTACCTGTTTCCCACAGGGGCATTTCCTGCAAATTGAGATGCAACCTTCTCAAAACTTCCAGATAAAATTTTGGTTGACTGTTTCACTAATCCAAGGAATTCCAAGTGCATAACCCCTTTCACATCAAAGAAACATGATGATTTTCATGGTTGGCTTCACCTGTGTGGGGAAGTGGCAGTTTTCCATTGGCTACTTGGAGATTCCTGTTTCATTTCGGGGTCATAACCATAGAACCAAGATTCATCTCTGGTTATGACTTTGGAAAAAAAAAATCAGCGCCAGCCTCCACTTGTTCCATCAAAGTACAGCTCATAGCTAAGCAATTGTCTCTTTGTTCAGGCCTGAGCAAGTGAGATACAAATTTTGCTAAAACTCATTTCATGCCCAAATCTTCAGATAAAGTTTGCTTACAGGAATTCCACAACACCCCAGTCAACTCTACAAGTCCATCAATAGTCCAGTGGTGGTCTTCCAAGATGGTTTGATGAATTCTTACCACATTTTCTCCAGTTTTGTTGAAGGATGCCTGAAACAAGGTTTATCATCAACTCATTTCATGCCTAAATCTTCAGATAAAGTTTGCTTACAGGAATTCCACAACACCCCAGTCAACTCTACAAGTTCATCAATAGTCCTGTGGTGGTCTTCCAAGATGGTTTGATGAATTCTTACCACATTTTCTTCAGTTGGTTGAAGGATGCCTGAAAAAAGGTTGATCATCAATTGACATTTCACCTCGTTTAAATGAGAAAACAATTTGTAAACTTGTCTTACTCAAAACAGCTTCTTTGTAAACTGTCTGTAACAACCATTTCCACCTCATTCTCCCCCAAAAGAACAAAATTTTACTGCTGAATGTTGTTCATATAAATCACCCACCATGAAATGGGCAAATGCACTGAGTCTTAAAAAAAATTCACTGAAACCGAACGCAGCCTCTCACGTGAAGGCCAGCTGGTACACTGATAGAGACAGGTTCCTAGAATGCTCACATAGTGGGGGGAAGCCTGTCCTACAAGGGGTCCACCCTCCAGAATATAATTCCGGTTTTTGGGGAGGACTTCCTTCCTGAGACCAGGTCTCTCCCTTTGCCATGTGAAAAACAGACAAAAGCCACTTGGGTTTGGCAAGTTTTCCTGTTGAAAGGGACGAAGCCTGGGTGGGCATGGATATTGGATGGATGATGCCAGCCACAGGACTCAAAGTCCACAGAAACCCAAGTTTTGTGAGAAAGATGGGGAAGATGATGTCAGAATAGCTCTACAGTTCTTAATGAGCACCTGCTCATACCGAGCCACTTAAAACAGGATAGGCAAAAACTTTATAGTATGAACTTCAAGTGGCAGAAAGGCAAACTCCAGGGTAGTGGCCCTTGCATGGCAAGGTGATGGTGTGACAAAACTTCGACAAAAATTTATGAAAGAATTACTACTTACTAGCTGCTCTGGTTACAGTTCTAAAAATATTATGCACCCCGCCTTTCGGACTTCTCAGTCACATCTTTATGTAACCACACTGGATACAAAAATTAGTGAGGAAGGTGTCAAGTGCAGGTGTGAGGAAAATTTTCCCAAAGTTAACAGCAAGCAAACTTCAGCCGAGTGCCCACCTTCCCTTCACCTGTTCTTCCTTCTCCGTTTTCCATCTTAATACCCTTTTACAATTCCTCTTCGCTGAGAAACCTAATAGTGCCGTTTCAGGTGAACCATAGATGGGCAATTCGTGAGGGGCCCTCTGGCGTACAAAGAAGGAGATTCCAACGTAAACACTTCACTCCGCCATTTCTAGTCACATTTACTGTTCGAGGACGGATAAGCCTTACGGGATTGAGGATAACGAGGATGGAGGTTAAGCCGACCCTGGGCCGTTCCATTCTTACAAAACCCGGCGGGGAAAGGGCTGTGTTCCCCAATCTAGGCCGCGGCGTCGGTCCGGATCTCCATTAACACCGTCTCCCCACCCCCCAAATCCTGAGCGCGAGAAAAGGAGACATGGGAGAAAGTGGCACCCATTCTCGTTCGTGGGCCCGGAGGAAAAATGGTGAAGCTCAGGGAGGGGAGACAAGGCGGAGCGAGTGACCCGGCGGTCGGTGGGCTTTGGGAGCCCGCAGAGTGGGCCGCCGTGGGCGACGCCGCGCAATCGCGACCCGCTTGGTACCTCCGCCATCTTCTCCTACTTACCCGGACTCCCCCCGCGACCGCGCTGGCTTCGCGTTTCCCTTCCGGCCGCTGACAGAGATCCGGGCTGGGCGGGGTGGGCGAGCGCGGAGAGGGGGTGGACCAAGGGCGGGGAGGCCGGACGGAAGAGGAAAGGGAGGGCAGCGAGCGGGCCGCGGCGGTGTGGAGCGTGCGGCGTGTGTGCGGCGGGAGAGGTGGGAGGGCGGGAGGCGAAGAGAGGGCGGGAGGCGGAGGAATGAGAGCGCGAGGCACTTCTCTTCGGCTCCTTCGCCCGGACGGAAAGAGCCGAGCGCAGCCCGAACGCTCTATTAAAATGGCGGCGGCTTCGGCGGTGGCCGCGGCGTCTGGTCGGTGAAGTGACTCTGCTGCTTCTCTCCCCACCCGCCCCCTCCCTCCCTCTCCCCTCCCCCCGTCCTTCCCCCCCTTCCCCGCCGCCGGCGCCTCCGCGCCCCTCCGGCCTGCGCACCTCCCCTCGCCCCCCTCCTCTCCCCCGCCCGCTCCGGGGACCGCCGGCCCCCTCCCCCATTCTCCTGCTCCCCGCCCCGTCCTCGCCGCCGCCCGCCCTCGTCGCCTCCCCGCCCCGCCGGCCGGCCGGCCCCCTCCTCCGCCTCTCTCCCCTCCCCCCCGCCGGTCGGGATCAGTCAGTGCGATCCGAAGCGGGGGAGGGGGGGGGCGGCGGCCGAACGATGTGCGAGAACTGCGCAGACCTGGTGGAGGTGTTAAATGAAAGTAAGTAGCCGCGGTGGCGGCCTGTCGGGGTGCATGGTTTGGGGTCCCTGCGCTGCTCCCCGGCCTCCCAGGGCTGCCGCGGCCTGCGGGAGGCGACGGCTGAGCCGTGCGGCGTGCGGGCCTAGCGCCCCGGGAAGGTGAGCGGTGGCGCGGCCGTCGCGCCGCTTCAGGCCCAGCCTTGCCGGGTTACCTGGGCGCCCGTGAGGGGGCCGCGGCCGAGCCGCGGTCAGGCGGGGCCTGAGTGGTCTCAGCGCTCTGAAAGTTTCCTCATTACAGGTGTCAATTAACGAAGGCACTAATGAGCCTTCGCCTCCTTATGCTATTGGGAAGGTGAAGGGAGGTAGGATCAGAGGACCAGGCTTTCCTCCGCAGTCCGGACCCTCCGACCCTCCGGCCGCCCTCTTTGATTTTAGAGTGCTGCCGAGGCCTCTCTTACCTGCTAATTTTTTTTTTTTTTTTCGTTAAAACTCCCTGGGAGGAGGTTGGTGGCTTTCCCTTCCCGTGGGTGTGTGTGTGGGTGTATTAAACCCTTCTGCTAGCCCTTAAATACCTGAAAATGAACTGTGGTAGTGATGATTGGAACCTTCATACCTATTTTTAAAATTAATGATGCTTCGTAGTGCACCACTCGTTTTAATGTAAATTCTGTTATATTAAGGAGAGTATTGTACCACAGGTACCATCCCGGGATAGTCCTGGCCTATCTCTTGGAATAAAAGGCCTTATTCCTTATACTTCTGGTTATTAAAGAGATTATGTACATTGATTTTTTTCTAGCCAGATTAAAAATTTTTTTCCCAACCCTTGTAAGATGGTATTTTGGCCTAAAGAAACGAGATATATTGCAAGTTAACTACTTATGGGCCCAAAGGCCTAGTTGGACTAGGTGAATTAGATAAAAGGTTAATATGCAGAAACTTGATTAAGGAAATGCTCGTTTACCAGCAGCCTGTGTGGGTTTTGGATTTGTGTTGTATGTGTGATATTTTGAAAGACTTTCAAACTACCTCTTTCTAGTGTGATTCTTTAAAACAATTAATTTATAAAATGTATCATCTTGTTTGTGTTTGAATTTTACTTAATTTACGTTTTTGAATTTCACTTTAATGACCAAAAGCAATAGTAAAAGTGGAAGGGTATTCAGTTTACTTTCAACTGAGTGTTCGCTTCCTGACAGGTGGAAGCAGGGTTTTGTCCATATTCAAACTATACTTTTCAATATTTGTGCCATTCTAAATTTTCCTAGAATTTTAAGGTTATTTGTTTTTATTTTGAGATACATTTATTTTTGGTGCTGGTGGTTTGATACAGCGATAAACATAAGTTCTTTTAAGTACTTCAGTAAACGGTATTCTGTATCACAGATAAAGTAATGTGATTATGGCTTTGCTATTCTGAAATTGGAAAATGAATAGCTTTGCTATGTAATATATTAAGAAAAACTTCTTTTAATAATATTGTTGGTGTTTTTAAAATTATTTTAAACTTAACCAGGAAAATTTTAAACATAGCATCTAAAGAAACTGAAGTTAGTCTTTATTACCTTTTAAGAAGAGAGATAATGAAAGGTTCTATTGAACATTATTTGGGAATCCCCTAGGACTCTGTTTAGAAGTACTCAAAAATGCAGTGACTTTATGGAGAGTTAGAAATAGTATGGAGAATGAAGTAAAATTTAGTTTCTATTACCTTTAAGTAAATGGAACAGTTGAATGAGGTTCACAATATCTGGCCATGCAGACCTTCTAAGAAACCTGTCTTGAACAAAAAAAGAAGAATTTCTTATTTGTGTATGAACCAATGATCTCTAAAAATACTTAGACAGTTTCTTAATATTTCCTTTAAGGCTCAGTTTAAAAAAATTGCCTCCTAAACACAATCTCACAATGATACTTCCTTTTTTCTTTCTTTCTTTCTTTTTTTTTTAAAATTACTTGAGCAATTTTATTTGTAGGTTATACAGCGCTATTACAAGATGTCCCCCCCCCCCACCACGCCCTGTAGTTGTTTAAAAATTGTTTTCATTTTTCCTTTGTATAGTTGCTGTGTCTTATACGAACATTTATCCATGACTGGGTAGGAGTGTGATAGTTGGAACTTGATAACACTTGTTGAATTAAAGAAGGTTATGTGTTTTTCTTGTAATCTGACTCACAATAATTATTAAGACTTTACTTCCCCCAACCCTGTAGGTTGTGCAAAGATGGGCATCAATTAATCCTTGGTAAATTCAGAGTTAAAGTACCAAAATAATGTGCTCAGAATTCATCTGTCAGTATAACTCCCTGTAACAATTTAACCAAGAGAAGAAATGAAATTTTCTATATTTTTGGGTGTTATGTTTCAAGTTGATGTTGAAAAAGAATTATTAAAAAAAATACCAAGAACCTATTTCTTTTAAAATTTACAGTATCTGCTCTTTAAAATTTAAATTCTTCCTGGACACACCAGTAAATGTATAATCTAAAAATTTTGTGTTTTAAATGAAAAGGTAGGCATAATGTGGATAGTGTAGCTTTATATCTGATATGCATAGTTTTTGATAAGGACTTCAGATGAATTGTTTATTTTAAAATATAGTAGAATGTAGTTAAAATAAAAATTGGTGGCAGAGGAATGGAAATAGCTTTCTTTTGTCACTAGTTTTTCATGAGAGTATTAGTATTACCAGTTACACCTCTATTCTTCTTGAGAAGCTGAAGCTGTGAAACTCTAATCATGAAACATATACCTATATAGAGTTGTAATTTTGCCTGGAGGTTGAGGGCCTGTTGAAGCCTGTCTGTGGATCCAGGCTAAGGACCCCATATTAAGGTGTCCCTCACCCCTTTTTTTAATGTGATATTGACAGAGCTCCTAAAACTTGAAATTATATTTCAAAATAGCATTTGGCTTTAGTGTTGGGGAAAAAAAAAATCTCACCAACACCAGCATTTGACTTCCCATTTTCCTTTCAGTGCTTTGTTTTTAATAAGGAAGACATTTTTAAAAGATCGGAATGCTGCTCTCAGTTTGTGGGATTGCATTTAGTTTTAGAGATAATTTTAAGTGTATATTCTTATCCTTGTTCTGTTGATTTTGTATGTTTGCTGTTTTTATAGTTGTTTTTGTGAACCACTTCACTAAGTCCAAGGTATTTCTGGATGTTGATGAGACATTGGAGGTCTGAAGTTATGAGAGCAGAATGACAGTGATTTTAAATGCCCATCAGTCTTTTAAATTTGTATGTTGTGGATTTTATTCTTTGTGTGTGTTGGGTGAATTAGTTTACCATTTGTTAAAATAGACAATTTGTTGTTCCTAACTGCCCTTTGAGATAGGCCGGAGCAAGTATTGGTGCCTCGGCTTTAAAGGTGAAGAAATTGAACCTCAGAAAGTCTTAAGTAGTTTGCTAAAGATCACTTGTCACCTGCTTAGTTAGTAGCCGTATTTAAGCTAGAACTCAAGATACTGTATCAGTAAGTGCAGAATAATTCTGTTTGCATTTTATTTTTAAAGGAGAATACTTTATTGAATAGTTTTATTGAGTACTTTATCAGTTCTTTGAGGGTAGGTACTCTATCACCTTTTTCAGATAAAGAGAACCAAGGCTTAGAGTTTATTCTTCCTGAGAAGCTGAAGCTGTAAAACTCTAGGGTCACAGGACTATTCCTTGGAGCAAGGATTTGAACAAGACCTAATCCCAAGTCAGGCCAAAAGCCTACACTCTTATATTATGGTATGCCCTATAAACTCGATGATCTAATTAAGTGGAGGACATATATAAATGAGTACACTGTTTGGCAAAATAAAAAATTACTATATTTTTATGTATTGTAACAAATTCAGGTGCAGTTCCATAGTAATTGTATAAATTTATGGTGATGAATGTAGCTGAATGGGAATCTATCTCAACATTGTTTTCAGCAGTGATGCCTTTAAAAAAAACTACACATTTCTAGGGTTTTTTTTTAAGATAAGTACTCAGGCACTAAGTAACAATATCTAGCTTGTTTCACCTGACATTACGCTTGATCACCTCCCTTATTAACTTTTGAAAACATTTTTTGTCTGTATAATATTTCCATTTTGTATACAATTTAATATTTCCCTACTATTATATGTTTGTTTCCAGTTCTCCCATATTACAAATAATGCTGCAACCCTGACAAGTGTGGTTTAGTTAGTTGGGCCTTGTCCTGCAAAGTGAAAGGTCACTGGTTGATTCCAGGTCAGGACATGCTCCTGGGTTGTGGGTTCCTTGGACACTTACGAGAGGCAACCAAGTGATGTTTCTCTCTCACATCGATGTTTCTCTTCCTCTCTTTCTCCTTCCCTTTCCCTAAAAGTAAGTAATAAATAAAATCTTAAGAAAATAATGCTGCAAATGATCATCTTGTATGTAAAGCGTGTATTTTAATCCTCATGTGAGGATATGTTCGTTGATTTTAGACAGAGGGAGAGGG